CAAAGTTTATTTGAAAGAACGGGCTATGTGTACACATGCAAAGGGATGTATGATGTATAGTACAACTATTCAGGAGCCCATGAAAAAGGTTGGGCTCCTGATTTATTACTTAGCTGGTATCCATAATGATAGGACAATCCAATTGGTTTTCTTGGACGTTTACTTGGGATTGACTGAGACAAATTGCACATGGGAGGATGCCACATGGATAATGGAGCTGTCTGCTGGTTTCTCTGATGAATTTGATGCTGTCCTCAGCTCTCAAATTGCTTCGCAGTCTGGCCCCTGTACAGTACCTTTAAATCATTGCAAGTGATCATGACTGGCCCAGGGCAGATTATATCAGTCTCTCCTAATCAAAAGAAAAGGAATACAAGTTAACATGACCTTACGATAACATTAGGACAAACAACTTGTAAATTTAAAATTGAATTTTATTTTAAAATTGAATATTTAAAAGTAAATTTGAATCTTAAAATTCACAAGACACACAAAGAGCAAGTTCTAAACCAATCTTAATTAGGGAACAAGTGTGTATACAGATAGTCAAAAGCAAAAGCAAATGCATTATTACGTGAAGTGACTTATGCACAGACATAACACAATATTAATCATGCAAGGGGAGGCATAGGGTGGGACATTATAGTCTTGTTGTTTGTTATTATGACATAACAAGATTATAGTACATGTAATGAACCTACCATTTCCAAAATAAGACTCCAACCAGAGGACACAGAATCAGTTCAGGAGCCAAATGAAGCTAGTAGAGCACATCATGTTCCAGACAGCATGTCTCACCTAATGAAAACAAAGGAACATGAAATATTAACAAGTAGGAGAAAGAGAGAAACTGACTTCTTTGTAGTATTGTATGGACTGGAGATTGACATGGAGTTGAGCCATGTGATTTCTGTATTTTGTTAGAATCCTCACTCTCAGCACCTCTGGCTAGCTTCTTTTGTTGCTCCCCATCCTCTGAATGGACAGTCACGAATATAGTGTGTTGTGTACTGCCACATCGATGGCACTTGTAGCCCCCTTTATTTCTCTTCAGAGTCATCACTAGGCTTCCTTGGAGGCTTCTTTTCCCCTTGGTTTCTCTTCTGTCCCAAGGTTTGTCTCCTTCCACTTTGCCTCTTCAAGCGAGCCTTACACACCAAGTCCTCGAAATTTCCTTCTACAACAGATTGATTAGAGAAAATGCTCCTCTTGCCTAATAATTCTGCTTCTGGAGTCACACGATAGGTTGGGGGATATGCTTTATATAATAACTTCCTCAACTCCTAAGCATATATACTCATCAGCTGACTCATTCAAACTTTAATTGTCTCCCCTGCTGGTCTGTACTGCTGTCAGTCGAACAGGGGTAAATCTTTTAACAAGAGCTGGTTTCAGAGCATCATAGCTCCTCTTCTCAGACTCACTGTAAGACTTGTACTTGTAGAAGGATCTAGCGGGACCCTCCAGCCTCAATCGAAGCTGTGTTAACTTTTTATGGTCGTCACATCTACACCATACTCCCATTTCCTCGAGGCGGTCAACCCATTCCTCAAAAGAATCTTCTTCAGCATCTTCCTTCGCTCCTTTAAAGGGTGGCAGCACTGGTAACTGTTAAGCATCATGAATGGGGGAGACAGATCCTTCTACCGCTCCCTCAG